AGCTCTTCTCCAGTCGTCTTTTGAGTGTTTTCTAACCTGAGGGGCTCATCCTCTGACACTGTATCAGACAATGTTCCTCTGCTATTTGTAAGGTTTTCACTGGCTAATTCTTTTCAGAAGTAGACCGCCAGGTCCTTCTTCCTAGCCTGTCTTAGTCTGGAAGCTCAGCTGAAACCTGTTCACCATGGGTGACCCTGCTGCTATTTGAATACTAGTGGCATCTCTTCCAGCATCACAGCAACATGCAAGCCTCCACAGTATGACAAACAGATACGTGGGGGTTGGATTCCTATACACCAACAAAGAGAACTTCAAAGGAAATCAGGAAAACAGTACCATTTATAATTGCCCCTAAAAAGAAAATACCTAGGAGTAAACCTAACCAGGGATGTAAAAGACCTAAACAAAGATCTACCGATATAATGAAATTCCCATCCAAATACCAACAGCATTCTTTAATGAGATAGAAAAACTAATAATTAACTTTATATAGAAAGGAAAGAGGCCCTGCATAAGTAAAGCCTCATTAAGGAAAAAGAACAAGTAGGAAGCCTCACACTGCCTGATCTCAAAACCTACTATACATATAGGATAGTCAATACAACCTGGTACTGGTACAAAGACAGACACACAGACTAATGGAACAGAATGAAGAATGTGACAAATCATTCATGTATGGTCAGCTGATCTTTGACAAAGGACCAAAGTAAAATAAATTGTGCTGGCAAAACTAGATATCCATCTGTAAAAAAAAGAAACAAGACCCATGCTCACACCATACATAAAAACGAACTGAAAATGGATCAAAGCCCTAAATATAAAACCTAAAATGATAAGATTATGAAAGAAGTAATGGGGAAAACTCTAGGGACCCTACTACATGGCATAAATACATACAAACCATAAGTAAAAATGCACAAACACCAGAAGATAAACTAGATAACTGGAAGCTCCTAAAAATTAAACACTTATACTCATCAAAAGACTTCACCAAAAGAGTAAAAAGAGAAACTACAGACTGGGGAAAAACAATTGGCTGAGATATATCCCACCAAGGTCTAATCCCAAAAATCTATATAATACTTCAACACCTCAACAACAAAAAGACAAATAATCCAATTAAAAAATGGGCAAATACATGAACAGACACTTCACCAAAGAAGGCATTCAGGCAGCTAACAGACACATTAGGAAATGCTTGTGATCATTAGCCATTAAAACCCATTGCTGTGGAGTCGATTCCAACTCATAGCGACCCTAGAGGAGAGAGTGGAACTGCCCTATAGGGTTTCCAAGGAGCAGCTGGTGGATTTGAACTGGCAGCTATTAGCCGTTAGAAAAATGGAAATCAAAACTACAATAAGATACCATCTTACCCCGACATTACTGGCACTAATTAAAAAAAAAAATAATGTTGGAGAGGTTTCGGGGAGATTGGAACTCTTAAGCACCTCTGGTGGGAATGTAAAATGATACAGCCACTAACCAAAAACCATTGCCGTGGAGTCGATTCCGACTCATAGAGACCCTATAGGACAGAGTAGAACTGTCCCATAGAGTTTCCAAGGAGCGCTTGGTGGATTGGAACTGCCAACCCTTTGGTTAGCAGCCATAGCACTTAACCACTACACCACCAGGGTTTTGGATATAACCACCAGGGAAAAAAATATGGAGCCTCCCTTAAAAGCTAGAAATAGAAATGCCCTAAAATCCAGCAATCTCACTCCTAGGAATATATCTTAGATAAATAAGAGTCATCACACGTATAGACATATGCACACCCATGTTCAGTAAGCATTATTCACAATAGCAAAAAAATGGAAACAACCTAAATGCCCATTACAGATGAATAGATAAATTATGGTACATACACACAATGGACACAACAATAGAGAACTGATGAATCAGCAGAAATCTCACAACATGGATGAATCTGGAGGGCATTATGCTGAGTGAAATAAGCCTATCACGGAAGGATACTTACAAATGCCTTGAGGCCTGGGGAGCCAGTACCCCGGTCTCAGGGGTCCAGGGGCCCCCGATGGGGACTCAACCTGGGCAGAGGGCTCTGCAAACTTTGAAGCGCTATGCCCTACCTACAGGCTGGGTCATAGGGCTGGACCCCCCTGCGTCCAGATTGGACCATGGCTGCAGACACTTTGTAGCGAGACCCAGGCCTGGCGCCACTAAGGCGCCTTCTTCCGGGGTGGGACCGGAGCACATGCACCACCCGGGACGGGGGCGGAGTGGGGGTCCTCTCCTCAACAACCTCCACCGCAGAGCGTACACCCGCTAGGCGCCTGCGTGGGGCGACTTGGCTTCCAGGACCGGGTTCTCCTAAAGGTAAGGGATCACTGGGCCTCGGGCGGGGGAACTCCCGCCGACTTGCCTCTTGTTTTCCGGGTCACCTTCCCCCCTTCTTTGCCCTTTTTTTAAAAAAAAAAAAAAAAAGTTACCCTCAAGTGTGTTCTGACTCATAGCAACCCTATAGGACAGAGTAGAGCTGCCCCATAGGCTTTCCAAGGAGCGGCTGGTGGATTCAAACTGCTGACCTTTTGGTTAGCAGCCCAGCTCGTAACCACTGTGCCACCAGGGCTCCTCTTTGGCTATATACGCCCCCAAAGTACAGGCCCGGAAAGACCGAGGCCAACTCAATGCCAGGGGACCCTGAAGTGTCCGAGATCCTGGGCACACGTGCGGCTTGAACCTGGCCTGCAGCTTCCACCTACCGGGGAACGCGTCAACATCATGTCTGGTCATCAGGTTGGGGCTGCGCATGTGCCTGAGCGGGTCCCCTCTGCTGGAGGGACCTGGGAGCCTGCGGAGCCGCGAATTCCCGCGCCTTGAGGAAAGCAGCTTCTCCATCTGTTAACAGTGTGGGTGTCCAGGTCCCGCTACCTGCGAACCTCGCTTCTAGAGTCTATTCTATAGAAATAAGAGAACATATATGGGGAAATGCGCGACGAAGATGCGGCCTCGCCGTCCCTGGTGGACACTATGGCCCTGACGGCCCAGGACGTTGGGCAGGGTGGCCACAGGCCAGGACACGTCTGTGACATTAGTCAGGTGAAGCACTGACCTGAGCAGTCAGTCTCTGTTTGCTTTAAAAATGGGTGTATGTACGTGTATTTAGATTTGCATAAATTTCAAGAATTCAGTCTGTGAGCCCTTCTGGCCAGGATTTGGGGTGAGCGGGCAGATGTCCGTGATGGCCAGCCCTGGTGGCCCCCTGGGTAGCAGAGCAGGATTTGGGGGTGCAGAGGGGTCAGTGCTTGGGCTCTCAGGCCAGCCTGCTGGGGTCACCTTCCAGGGAATATTGGAAGTAACCCCTGCAAAGAGGGAGGTGGGCTCTTGGTGAGTGGAAGGGTGCAGACCTGACGGGACATCTCTGAACGCGGTCATTGTGGAGGACAGATTTCATTTCTCCTAAAGTTGGTGGGGTTAGGGCAACTTCCACTTCTTTGTGTTTTTCACTTTTCTTGTTTTCAAAACGGAATAGTGAAACCAGAGGGAGCTAGTCCTGCTGCTTTAGTTGGTGTCCTGGAGGGTTTTGTCTGAAGGAGACATAAAGAAATGCTCATCTGTCATGCACACACTCATTCAGTTTATTGCAAGGTAGTCAGGGCCAGGCGCACAAGTAAGACCTCAAGGCGTTCATTCAGCGTTGGAGAGCCAGAATCTGCCATGTTAGTTTAAATGTTAAGGTGTCTCTGGGAGGAGACCCGACCACCCTCCAACTCAGAGCAGGTCCCCTGTAGCTAGGGTCTGAGGTCGGCTGTGGTGAGCAGTGTCTCAGCAGCTTCTCAGTCTTCAGACAGAGTCAGAGAGACCATTGCTTCTGTCTTCTCTGAATATGAGCAGAAATCCAGGGGTTTATAGACTCTGTGTGCTGTCATGTTCAATTATAATTAGTATGTTTTATTGTCAGCTAAGGGCGGTGTAGTCTGACATATTTATATTTTGCTAATTTATAGTTATTTGAATTATTGCCAATTAGAGCATGACATATTTATGTTCTTATTTACTACGTAAAGTTTCAAGGCCAAGGTGATTACTTAAAAATTATGGTAATTGTTTAGTGATGTATTTATGTTTTGTTAACTTATAGAGAATTTATTGATGTCACGTTCCTTTATCACAGAGTGCAGCTGCACAGTGAAATTTAGGGAAATTATTTACAGCCTACTTCACATATTTCTATTATCTGTTTTCAAGGGTAGAACAACTTTTTAATGGCTTACAATTAACGGTTAAAGAGCATTGTAGAAATATGTTTTTATTTCTAAGCTCAGAAACTCTGTATTTCTAATGTCATATTATAAATGACTTATACATAAGTGTGAAACAGCATTACAAAAACACCATGAACAGTGTAAAAAGCATTATAGAGGCATACATAATAGTGACTCAGACGTGTTTTAAGAACATTACAGAATCAGGTGTGATTTGAGAGCATGCAGACAGCATCCATTAAGAGTTGCCCGGGCCCCAGGCTTCTTCCCTGGGTCAGCCTGGTGCCCCCAGGGTGCAGGAGGCCCTGGTGTCCACGTGGCAAAGGTTGGGGAGACCCCAGAGACCTGGCACAGCCCCCATCCCCTGCGCTAAGAGCCAGAGTTGAGTGGGACGTGGCCACCAGCAGAAACTGTAGTAGGAGCCAGGAGGCATCAAGGGGTAAACAATGGGCCATGTGGTCTGTGTGCCAGAGGACGTGTCCCCAGGGGATGACCAGTGTCTGAGGAGTAAGGGGCACTGTGGCAGGGACAGCTCGGAGCACAGTGCCTGGCGCACACGGAGCTCGTGAAGGTCGTTTTTGGGATTGAAAGGAAATTCTAGCGGCGTCTGACACACCCCTGCCTCTCTCAGATGGACTCTCGTGTTCCTCCAAGTGTCTGGGCACAAGGTGACAATAGGGCCACCTGGCTGCTGTGAGGACTGTGCTGTGAGCACGTGGTCAGCACTGTCCCCACTGTCCCCTGTGTTGCAGCCTGGGCCGAGGCGGGATGCAGAGCTTCCTGACGCTGCTGAAGGAGAGCAGAGATACCGGCCCACCCCCCGCGGAGCTGGTGGACCTTGCAGGAAGGCTGTACCGGGACCTCCGGGGTGACCTCGCCCAGGTGGAGCCCTTGGTGGAGGCCGTGCTGGGGAGCCCGCTCCGCCTGCACCTGCTGGACAGAGAGGACGTGGCTGTGGTGTGCGCGCTTGTCCTGGCCCGGCAGGAGCGGCACCAGGCAGCCTGCAAGCTCCTGGAGGTAGGGTGGGCCTGCAGGGGGCACAGAGCAGGGGAGCCCAGAAGTTAACCAGATTCTGTGGCCTGCAGGGAAAACCTTCTCTTCCTCACCTCCATTCACTCAGTTCTAGTTAGCCTGGCGATCTGATGTAAAAACGTTCCTTTATCAGATACGTTGTGAGCAGCAGCCCTGTGTCAGGCCCTCAGACAGTTAATGAAAAGAGCGAGAGAGTCAAACCCCAGCACGTCATGTCTTGACAGTTAACATTCTCGTCAGTGGGACAAACGGGAAATCAGTTTCAGGACTCTGATCCCTCATCCCAAACTGAAAACCCAGAGTACCTTTGAAGCTTATCTGGTGGCACATTAAGCCTGAGCTTATGTGGCAGCAAACCCTGACCTGTGTTGGTGCGAAGCTATTTATGGTCTTTCCTTATCCATGAACTGTGACTGTGGTGCGTTCTGCTTTATAAGCAGGAGAGTGTCTGATTACAGGATGTGGCCCCAGATAATGGTGGGGCGGTGCATGACACACGTCCCCTGTCATTTCCCCAAATCTGAAAAATCTTCAATTCCAAAATCCATCTGCCCCAAAGAGTTTTGAATAAGGGATTGTGGGCCTGTTTTCTCCCCTCACAGTGATTAAGGGCTACGGCTGCTAACCAAAAGGTTGGCAGTCGAATCCACCAGCCGCTCCTTGGAAACCCTATTGGGGCAGTTCTCTGCCCACAGGGTCGCTATCAGTCAGAATTGACGCTTCGGCAGTGGGCTTGGCTTGGTTTGTTTTTCACCTCAAATACAATCCATGCACAACTCATGTGGAGTCTACCTGCAGACCCCCCTCGATTCCATCCTGTTCTTTCTGGGCAGTGTCCTCCTGGCTGCTCCCCCCTACTCTTTCCTGCCCCCTAAATTCTGTTCTTCATGCAGTACCCGGAGGGGTTTTTACAACTACAGATGGGACCGTGACATGCGCCCGCTGCACGGCTCTGGCCCCCGCGGCCGCCCTGCCTGTCGTCCATCTTGTCTCCCTGGTTTCCTCTGCAGTGGCTGTGCTGGGTTCCTTTCTGTCCTCAATCTAGATATTTACCATCCCAGGACCTTTGCATGGACTCTTCCTTCTGCTGGGCTCTTTGTGTGCATGGCGCTCTCTGACCCTGCAGGCTTCTGCCAAGTGTCACCACCGCCTAGAGCCTTTCCCTACATCCCCATCAAGGCAGTCCCCATTACTCTCCAGTGTCGCCCTGGCTAGCTGCCACAGCCTCTTCTCCATGTATTTGTGTGTCTGTGGATCATGTTTCCTTCACTGCACTGAAGCCCCGTGAGTGAGGGCCACCCGGTCCTGCCCATCCCAGGGACCACTGGCACACAGCATAGGCCCTGGGTTGGTGGGGGCTGCAGCTTTTCAGGTCTGTCGGTACAAATGAATGATGTGACAAACATGGGAACACATCCTTAGAGTTGTCACTGGGAAGGTGATAGAGAGCTCCAGGAGGGGGCTCACACACCCAGTCAGGGTCCGGGACCTCTGGGAGCAGACGTGCGAGCTGAGGGATTAGTCTGAGCTGGCTGCGGTGTCCATGACGGTTCCCTGGTGCTCCAGCACGAGGCCAGTGACTGCATCCTGGTGGGAGAGGACATGGCAGACCGGCCCGCAGACACATGTGCTGCAGGTGGCTCTGGGTGGGGCCTTCATCGCAGGGCCAACCAGGATTCCAGGACTTTTCTGATGTGGGGAAAGAAGAACATTGTTTACATTTAGACCCTGAGAAGATTGGTCCATATCATTGAGTCAGAGGGCGGCCTCATGTGGATGACTCGAGTTACATGAATGGCAACAGCCTCGCAGGAGAGGCAGTGACGTGGGCCCGTGATCGGGAAGGTCCGGGTCAGTGCAGCAGGTCCTCTGGTGTCGATGGGTCGGTGTGTGGTTGCTAACACAGATGGGGTCCCTCGTCCCACCCAGTGCAGGGTGCAGCAGGCACGTGGCAGCTGGCCTTCCAGCAACGTGGCTGTGCTCACCTCCTGTGTACCCTGGGAGGGCTGCAGGGTCTCGGGTGGGAGGGCTGGCACCCTGAGTGACCGGCCACCCAGGGTCACACCACGGGGCTGGCAGGGATTTCCAGCCTGGCCATCTGACTCCAGGGTGCCCTGGTGAACAGTGAGAGTGGGACAGGAGCCCAGGCCCCTGCTCTTCCACAGACGCCTCGGCCTGTGCAGGGCTCGGGTTGGTCTGGGAGGGCGGCCCCAGGTGCCCCCAGCCCCAGGCAGCCACGGCTCAGCCAGGCTCTCCTCGGCAGAGTTGTCGGGTGCTGGGGGGGAGCTTGGAGCTGGTGAAGCTCTGGAACGACATCCACTACCGTCTGGCCATGAGGAGGCTGGACGTGGCCACGCTGACCCCTGTGCAGAAGTTCTGCTGCAGGAAGAGGTATGTTTATTCACACAGGCCCTGTGGGGTGCCCCAGGGATCGAGGTGGGGTCCAGACAACACAGAAGAGGGGAAATAGGGTGGCAGCGGTCAGATGGAGCACAGCGGTGACCGTGGGCTGGTGTGAGCGAGCTATTTACGCACCGCTGGGATGGGCTGGGAGGGGTCGGGCTTACCCCGAGTGGTGACCAGGGCTGGCCAGGTTGGGGACGTGATCCCTGTGCCAGCAGGGTGGGAGGGAGCAGTCTCCAGGACCCAGAGAGAGGCTGGCTGCAGGGAGGCAGGGCTGAGCACCCTGACCTCACCCTCCTCCTCTGACCTCTCTCCAGGCCTCACCAGATGAGGGCCGTGGGAGGGCTGCTCTAGGCCAGGCAGTCGGCGCAGGCTGTGAGCCCTGGAGGGAGGCCTCAGGTGGACAGGAGCTGCCCAGGCAGAGGGAGGGAGATGTACAGAGCGTTCATCCGCTAATGGGGATGCTTCAGTAGAGGAAAAATTCATTGTGAAAGAGGGAATAAAGGCAGATCATCCTCCAGTCGGGCCTGGCCGGGGTCTTAGTGACAATCTTTGGTGACAGGCCCAGGAGTCCGGAAGGGCCAGGAGGCCATATGGGAGGGACTCGGACACGCTTGGAGCGTGGGTGCTGTTGAGGTCTCCCGGGGCCATGCTGTGGCAGAGGGGCAGTCGGAGAGCACGGGGCAGGAGTGCTGGGACACGCCACCAGCCTGGGGACACACCTGGAGCGTGGGTGCTGTCCTGGGGGCCACACTGTGGGAGAGGGGTAGTCAGATAGCCTCCAGCTCTTCCCTGCTCCTGCCCATGGGGCTGGGGAACCTCTGAGCTCCCCACAGTCGGGAGCGCCTTCTGTGTGTCTTCATTTCTGTGGGGAGAGAAGAGCTTGTCTTCTTCCCCAACCTGAGGACAGAGAGGCTCCACCAGGAAGAGACCTGGGGGGTCACTTCCTCAGAGGACAGGGCCCTGGTTAGAGGCAAATTTGAGGGTCTTGTTCTGACATCTCCTCCTCCTGTTCTTGTCCAGGAAACCACCACCCCCCTCCCTCTGTCCCGAGGGCCTGAGGAGCCAGAATTTCCCCAGGGAGGTTCGACAGAAGCTGCAGGACTTCGCCTCAGGCGTGAGCACCAACCCCGACAAGGCCCAGCGGGTGAGAGGAAGCCGGCCCCACCTGCAGCCCCTCAGACATACTGAGTAGCTCCCACCTGTCAGGGTGAGGGTAGACTGGACTCCCCTCAAGCTCACCTGGGACGGAGGGTCTTGCTGGCCCACAAGGCAGGCCCTGCAGTGTGGGGCTGGCTTCTCAATGGGGCCCCACCCTCACCATGTGGCTACCGTGGGAGGACATAATCCATTCTCCCTCAGGGGCTGCATCCCCCAGCCACTGGCCAGAGCAAGTGCTCAGCAGATACTCCTCAGCCAGGACCCACGCCCGGGTCCTGGAGGGATCGGGGCCGACTTTGGGCCCTTTCTCAGTGGAGACGATGGTTGGGGCCACCTCTGTGCCCCTTGGCGTGAAAGCAGGCCCGGGGTTCTGTTGCCTCCTGCAGGAGACCCTGTGGTCAGAGACGAGCCTCTCGGAGGAGCAGGTCTACAACCGGTTTGCCAACTATCGTCGGAAACGAAGAGCCCTTCTCCAGCGTGTACAGCCGGCAGGGGGGACCTCAGCAGAAGGCCCTGGTGCCTGGGGGTGGGGTCCAGAGCCCCCTCATCCCTCAGGGGACCCCCATGCTGACCCTCAGTGTGTGGACAGGTCTCAGTGGTCAGGTGAGTGGCCCGAGGGCCCAGCCTCCTGTGGTTTGGAGCGATGCTGGTCCCCCACTCAGCCCCTGCTCTCCGCTGTGTCCAGGGTCACTCTGGTCAGGCAGGGCAGCCCCTCAGGAGGGATGGGGTTCACCTATGGTGAGAGCTAACAGTCAGGCTGTAGGTGGGACAGTTTTCGTCAGGGAGTGAGGTTGCTGAGGCTGATGCTGGACACAGGCTGGGCTCGGGTTCGTCTATGGGGCTGGGCCTCACCACGGGGTTGTAGCCACCGTTGTGCACTGAGAGCTTACTGTGTGCCAGGGGAGGAGTTGGCTGGTGACATATCATGTGGCTGGAGGGAGGGGGTTGGTGAATAAATCCAGGGAGGCAACAAAGCACCAGGGTTTGGGCTGTCCTGTGTTCTGTGGAATGCTGGTTCAGACCAAAGAAGGACCGAGAGACAAAGGACACTGGGGTTAACTCTTACCTTCTGGGAAGCACAGCTAGAGCCTGAGGGAAGGAGCCCATGGACTCAGGCAGGGCTCCACCAAGCCTCCCCATCTGACTGTGCTCTGCTCTCATCAGGACATGAGGAAAAGGGGCCTCCACGGTCCCCAGAGGCCACTCAAGGACAATGGGCACCACTGGCCCCTGCCCTGGACCTTCCTGGAGACGAGATGCTCTCAAGGCCACTGGCTCCCAGGTACTGAGACCCCACAGCTGACCGACCAGGTCACCTGTCCGGCCTCCTCCTCTTCCCTAGGGGTAGGAGACATGGCCACCTGACACGGGGGCCCAGGGCAGTGACAGCTGAGAGCAGAGATAGCCATGGTCCTAGGGGTCAAGGGGAGGCACAAGCAAGGGATCACATCAGGGACAGCTGGAGCAGCATCCCCGACCCCGAGCATGCTCCCTGGAGCCGGACTTCCTCTGTAGCACAGAGAGTGGGGGAAACAGCCTCAGAGAGAAAGAACAGCCTTACCGCCTGCCTCTGAAATGCAGCCCCACAGTCACTGTGTTCTGTTCCAGTATTTTGTCTTTTAAAAAAATGTCATTGAGAAAAAAAATATTGAGTAACTTGTCAACATTTTGTGGGTCCCTGCTCTGTGCTGTTCTAAGCAGTTTCCTTGAGCCCTGAGATCATCCTGTGACGAGGCAGTCCTGGGGTGAGAAGAAGGAAGGGGCTGCGCTCTCAGGGCTGAACCCCACATGGCTGGGGCCAGGCCTGAGTCCTGGCCTAACCAGGACGCCACGTGCACCTCTGTTCCTCTTTTCCACTGAACATTTTGTCGCCTGCTTCCTGGTTGGCACCCAGGCCAGCACCAGCCAGGTGTGTGACCTTGGGCAGGTTCTCACGGCCTTTCAGTACTCACTTTTCTCCCCTGTTCAATGGGGATCATGACAAGACCTGTCATGTACAGTTGTGGCAAAGGATACGTGGATTTAACAAAAGGCTCTGTGTTCTGTCTGAGACACTGCGAGCAATTCAAGGAACATGAATTCTCTAAGTTATTATTATTAATCACTGCATAGTATTCCCTTAAGATCAACCATCTTTTATTTACTGGGCTATTACACGCTTGCTGATCAGGTTCCATTTTCAATATTGTAGAACAACTCTTCGTTGCAGGTTGTGGTAAGTAAAACTGCTAATATATTGAAGATTTCCAGAGATAGCGTTTATGAAGTGTCTCCCTGGGCTGGCATGTCAGAGCCTGGCCTCTGGTCCTTGCATCCACCATGTTCCACGAGGAGAACAGGGGCCACAGTGTGATTTGTGATGTGCTGGGGCCCCATGGCCATCGGTGCCTGGGTTGAGATGTGACCCAGATTCCCAGACTTGCTGGAGTCTCTTCCCAGGCTCTGGCCGAGCGAGCCTCTGCCCACTGAGGGACAGTGTTCGCTGTGTCCGCAGGTCCCTACAGGGCGGTGAGATGCACCAGGGGGGGCCTGGCCAAGACCCTGCCACGTTCACCCCTGTCTGCCCTGGCAGCAACATGGTGGACCTGTCCCTCGCTGCCCCAGGGTCATGGCTGATGTCACTTGCACTGGCGTCCTCCAGAGAAGCCTCTTTCCAGCCTGGGCAGCTGGTCCACAGCCAGGATCTGGGCTTCAGGATGCCCTGGTCAGACGCTGCCATGACAGGTGAGTCTGCTCAGGATAGAGCCAGTGGTTCCTGCACCTGATGCTGGCACTGACCTGATCTTGTTTGAGGGACAGCATTGTGGCAAGGGAGCCCTGGTGGTACAGCGGTTAAGCATTCAGCTGCTAACCAAAAGGTTGGGAGTTTGAATCCATTAGCCACTCTTGGAATCCCTGTGGGGCAGTTATACTCTGTCCTATGGAGTCGCTGTGAATCGGAATAGACTCAGTGGCAACGGGTTTGGTTTTCTTTTGGGATTGTCAGGTTAGCACTTAAACCTTACTTCCTCTACCTGAGAACATCTTCAAGGTTCTCCAAGGAAGAGAAAATAAGATGAAAGCAAAGGTACCCTCACATACCAAATAGTTATGAACGTCCCATGTGTCCAACAAGATCCTGGACAGGGGGCCCCCAGGGTTCAGGAGGTCACTCTGGTGGTGAACATGGACAGAGTTGAGCCGGCTTGTGGTTCTGTGTCTGAGATCAGGAGCACCTTCTACTAGTTTTACAACCTAGTAGACTCAGGGAGGAAATGGACATAGATTCTCACCTTACTTCTCTCCTAAGCTTGTGTTGACCCAGGTCTGGTCAAATCCATGGTAGCTTGTCTGTAAGAGTGAAAGATATTTTGAGATATCCTCTGCAACGTTTTAAGTAGAGAAAAAGTCAAAAGGGCAAGATAAGGTGGTGACATCTTACCTGTAAGGGAAATCTTAGTAAAACCCAAGGTAAAAGGTCAGCGAAAAGGGAAAAGGGCTGGGACTCAGCCGTTTGATGCACCAACTAGGAAAGAAAATGATGATTATATGGATTGCACATTCCTCACAGAGTAGTGGGAAGGAGATTGTGGCAGAGTCCCATGTGTGATCACTGGGACTGGGGTCTGGTAGGAGGTCACACCTGTGACAAAGTAGAATGTGAAGTCTGCAACATTCACCCTTGTTTTGTTCTGCTGAAGCAAAGAATGACAAAGTTGGAAAAGGCCATGGAGATCACTGGTTGTGTCCATTCCTTTCTCAGAGAGGGACACTGAGGCCCAAGCAGACGGAGAGCCTGGCTCATGCAGCCTGTGACTGGCAGGGCACATGTCGCTTCCTATCTAACACGGGCCCTGCTCCTTCCTCCTGGAAGTGAGTTGTGGAATTTCTTTCCTACAGGATTCACTGACATGCCCACCAGGACCCGCCAGAGCAAGTATCTGGAGGAAGGTCCATGTATGAGCGGTGGACACATGGAGCTACAGCCCCCACTCCTGCCTCCAGAATTCATCTTTCCCCAAAGGTAGGCCCTGCAGAGCCCCAAGGCTTGGGCGATGCTTTCCAGGGGCCACAGAGTAGGGGAACACAGGTCCCGCAAGACTAGTGCCCGACTTGTTGAATCACCCACCTCAGACGGTACAGATTAGACTTTTCTTCAGGGATTTCTAAAAATGAGAGCAATCCTCCCAGGCTGCTTCCACCAAAAGAGGGTGGTTTTCCCTCAAAGAGAAGAACACTCAGAAACGTCAGAGTGGACCTGGACACTGTCTTCTGGCCAGTGTTTCTGACGCTTCTTGGGAAGGCTCAGGGCTCACCTCTTCGCCAAGGTCACCCTAGGTCCCAGCAGCCTCTTCCTCATGTTTTCTTTTCCCCAGACAAAGGGCTGTTGGGGTTTCTGAGTAGCAGCAAGATCCTGATTCTATATTCCAAACTGTAGTTTTAAATGGGCTTGGAAGGGCCTGGAACAGCCTGGGAGAGAATTTGCTGTTGATGCAGCGAATGCTGTAGACTGTTGGAAATGGAGGGAAGGTAACCAAGCCTCAAGGGGTAGGAATATACCCAAGACTGGAATTTCTGGGTCATATGGTAATTCTATATTTAACTTTTTGAGGAGCAGCCACCTGTTTTCTATAGCTGCTATACCATTTTGCATTCCTACCAGCAGTGGAGAAGGGTTCCAGTTTCTCCACATACTTGTCAACACTTGTTGTTTTCTGGGGTTTTGTTTGTTTGTTTCTTTTTTATTTTTTCAATCTTATCCAGCCTAGTAGTGTGGGAAGTGGTATCTCATTGTGGTTTTGATTTGCATCTCCCTAATAGCCTTGGTTGAGCAGTGGTTGAAGAGTTCAGCTGCTAACCAAGAGGACAGCAGTTTGAATCCACCAGCCACTCCTTGGAAACCCTATGGGGCAGTTCTATTCTGTCCTGTCCTGTTACTGTGAGTTGGAATTGACTCAACAGCAATGGGTTTGGTTTTTTCATTTAATCGCTAATAGAGTCCCTGAGTGTCACAAATGATTAAGTGCTCAAGTACTAACTGAAAGGTTAGCAATTCAAACCCACCCAGAGACATCTTGGAAAAAAGGCCTAGCGATTTGTTTCTGAAAGGTCACAGCCTCGAAAACCCTATGGAGCACAGTCTACTCTGTAACTCGTGGGTCATCGTGAGTTGAAATTGAATCAGTGGCAACGGGTAATGGCTAATGATGCTGAGCATCTTTCATGTGCTTGTTGGCCATTTGTATTTCTTCTTCGGTGAAATCCTTTGCCCTTTATCTATTCGAATTCTTATCCATTCTTTGATTGGGTAGTTTGTCTTTTGTTGTTAAGTTAGTTGTAGGAGTTCTTTATACAGTATGTTCTGGATATTAAACTCTCATTCAGTATGTGGTTCTGGAAAATTTCCCCCAGTTTGTAGCTTGTCTCTTCACTTTCTTGTTAAAGTCCTTAGTTGAACAAAAGTTTTTTATTTTGATGGAGTCCAAGTTATTTATTTTGGCTTATGTCTAATGCTTTTGGTGTCATATTTAAGAATCCATTGTTAAAAAATAGGTCCCGAAGCAATACCCCTGTGTATTCTTCTGTGAGTTTTATGGTTTATGGTCCTTAATCTATTTAGAGTTAATTTTCATGTATGCTATGATATATGAGTCCAGCTTTATTCTTTTGTATGTGGAAATCCAGTTGTCCCAGCATCATTTATTAAAGAGGCTATTCTTTCCCCATGACATGGATTTAGCACCCTTGGCAAAAATCAGTTGACCATACATGTATGGGTTTATTTCTGGACTCTCAATTCTATTCCATTGGTGTGTGTGTCTATTATTATAGCAGTACCAGACTATTTTGATTCCTAGGGATTTAATAGTATGTTTTGGAATCAGGAAGTGTGAGTCTTCCTGCTTCATCCTTCCTTGAGACTGATTTGGTCATTCAGGGCCCCGGCAATTCCATGTAAATTTGAGGACTTTTTGTTTTTCATTTCTGCAAAGAAAGCTTATATAATTTACACCATGATTACATTGAATCTGTAGATTGCTTTGGGTAATGTTGACATCTTAACGATAGTCATTAAGTTTTCCAGTCCATGAATTTCCATTTACTTCCAAAAACCAAAACTAAAACTGTCTTCTAATCGATTCTGATTCATAGCTACCCTGTAGGACAGAGTAGAACTTCCCCATGGGGTTTCCAAGGAATAGCTGGTAGATTTAAACTGCTTTTAATCTCTTTCAGCAGTGTTTTATAATTTTGATTGTGAAAGTCTCTTACATCCCTGGCTACATTTATTTCTAGGTATTTTGTTCTTTTAGATGCTGTTGTAAATGGGATTGTCTCAATTTCCTTTTCAGAATGTTCATTGCTGGTATATTGAAACCCAACTGATTATTATGTATGTTTAGCTTTAAAAGAAACTGCCAACTGTTGTCCAGAGTGGTTGCCATTGTTCCATTGCCTGCTATCCCTCATCCTCACTCTGGTCTGATTGTGAGTTTGGCTTCTCGTCTTCTTTGACATCTCAGACCTGCTCCTTCCTCAGGATCGCCCCTGCCCTCACATTTCTGCTCAAAGAGGCCTGCGCTGAAATCCTGTCTAAAATTGCCTGTGGGAGCCCACTCTGCTCTATATGATACCACTCGTCGCCTGCTAACATCTTCCACATCACTGTCTTCCTCTCTCTACCAAAACGGAGTGCCTGAGCACAGGAATAAAATTGTTCTTGATGAATGTCAAACACCTAGAATGGTTCCTGATATGTAGAAAGCGCTCAATATGTGTTGCCGAATGAGCGGCTATTATTCCTTAGCATTCCTGGGTACTTGAGACGGAGCCTGTCCTGACACCTAGTCCCTTTTCCAGCCCCCAAGCGCCAGCGCAAGCCACATCCTCCTTCCCCCATCCTGTGTCCGCCGTGGAGCTGAGCCAGCCCCAGCCCTCCAGCCAGGTGAGGCCTTCCTACAGGCACCTTTGTTTGCCTGCTGTCTCCTGTATCCCCAGTACATGGCACAGAGGACAGGCTCAGCTAATACCTTTGGAGTGAATCAACCGGGCAAAGACTGAACAAGGTGGAAGAGTGGGCTCCTAGCTAGAAGTTGGCAAAATGGGAGCTATGAGGGGAGGTGGATATGGAGTGCCACAGGGAGATGTTTACCACTCCTGAGCCCGGGGGCTCCAGAAGTGGGTGGTGTCCATGCAGGGTCAGAAAATTCTCAGGGTGGGACAGGCAGAGCCCCGAAGCCTGATGGTGGAGTGTGTAATGTTGTGTTTGGTTTTCCAGGTGCAGTGGCCTGATGGTCAGGCCTCCAGTGATACCTTCTGGGGAGCACAGATGCTCTTTGAGTTTTCAGGGGGAAGCCTGGGCGGAAGTGCCTCTTGGGAGATCGCGAGCACCCCAGGAGGAGCAGATGTGGATTGTCTGGCTGCTCAAGACTACAAGTTGTGGAGCTTTATCCCCAAATACAAGAAGGAATCCCCAGGATTACTTGGTGGCAGGTGGGGGGCGGGGGCGCTCCCTTGAGAAACGTTGAGGACTTCTTGCCCACGGCTAATGTTTAAATAGTTAGATATTGGAGGCAGTATTTGAAAATGTTCATGAGATAAGAAGTCAAAGGAGAGTTTTGTTCCCACTCGGGCAGTGACAAACCAGAGATTCCAGGTCCTGGGTCAAGTTCTGTGCAGTTCAGGCCTTCCTAGAGAGAGAAGAATGTTCTAGTGCTAGCCATCTTCCCACTTGTCCCGTGGCATAAGGTAAAACTCCTCCACCTAGTTCTCTTTGTTGTTGGCAGCATTTTGACATTTCTGTGTTCGTGGGGGCCTCTCCCTTGAAGACTGAGAGGCAAACCGATTGATGATGGCCCCAGCAGGTTGAATTCATTGTGTTTGCGGGAAAAATGTTCAATTGCATTGAATTAAAGTTTTAATGCTCTGAACTCTCCTTTTTCACTTAATTATGTATCCTGGACATATTTCCAAGTCACAGTACAGAGACCTTTAATCCTTGCATAGCAGGTCATGACTTGGGTGTGCACTGATAAATTGATATATCAGTATCCTACATCCCGTACTATTCTGAGCTGCTTCATGGAGTGGTCTTTGGTTGAGCCTCCAGAAAATTTTCCAAGTCCCCTTCTGACAGCCCAGAGCAGTTAGGGCCTGAAGGGGATGTCTAAAGGGTAGGTCATTGTTATCATTATTATTATTAGTTGTGGTGGTGGTGGTCATGCCATCGAATAAAATTTCTCAATTCACAGAGAACTGGAGATGATGACAGGGGTTCCATGCACACATACACACACCCGGAGCCCAGGCTTTTTCCTGCATTCCCCCTGGGTTCCTGTTTGTTGGATGAGGCTCTGGAAATGTTCCAAGTCCCCAAGTGGAGGCTGAACTGGTCTGCGTTGACCTGAGTGTCTTGGGGAGGTTGTCCATGGCCTGCCAGAGCTGCTTGAGATCTTTTCTAAGTTCACTTGGGGGCCTGGCGATCGCCTGAACCTCTGGAAAACTTTTCTTAGTGCACTGAGATGCCCAGGAACCACTTGGGTCAGCAGGGCAATGGGTCGGGGAATGAGATAGAAATGATGGTCTCATAACATGTTTACCAAATTGGACCAGCCTCTATAAGCCAGGTATTCATAGAGGAAGTGAAGAAATGGTCCTTTTTTCTTTAAGTACAATTCACGAAGGGGAGATAATTCACACCTCAACCTAAGTAAGTGGCTGCAGTGTGCCTCGACATGTAGTGAACAGAGATGAGTCAGAGATTAGAAGCTCTGATTCTGACTTTTTTCACTTAATATATCTTGTAAATCACTACAGATTAGTAAATATGGTAAACAGTTTCTTGATTCTCCTTTGTGTGAGGAAAATTTTGACACACCGATAGGTGTAGTTGGGGGGATTTCAGAACTAAAATTAGACACTCCATTCTAAATTTCACTGAAATCTCACTTCTACACTCCTGAAAAACATTAGGTTTTTGTTAAAGTTTACCGTTTGAATGACAAAGCTCAGTACTTGTTATGTTAATAGTGTTCCAGCAGCTTGCCTTAGAAAAAGCCTCACTGAGTTGATCAATTAGAGCCTATAGATGAACATGTTATTTTAACTACCTTCAAAGAATTTCCTCAGCAGACACATAGACTTTATCCCTTTTTCTCTCAGCTAAATAAGCAGAATTTGCATTTCAAAAGACTTAGATTTGAAATGGATCTAATCTTTGTACTTTCCTAACGGTCAGTTCTGTATCCAAAGATTCCAATTAAGTTGGCCCAGCTGCAAACATATCGCTAACCTTTCATGTTGAAAATGTTTACTTTCATTTTAGAAATATTGCCTTAGTTAAATTATATCAAGAATGAGAGATCTGTGTGAAACTAGAAACTCATGTGAAGGTGGTTTGCAGTTAATTGCCTCCTGGTAAATCTTTCCTCCCCCTTTCAATTGCTGTGATGTGAGACAGTTGTCTGTACGCGCTTTACTTGTTAAATATCTCTGTTCTGTCTGCAAGGCCGAGCATACTGTTAGAGTTGATCTGAATGCATTCTCTCCCTCGGATTCATTCCTTTGATAAAATGTTTGTTTATCAAATTGGAGTGTTGGTCCAGTGACTCCACTAGGAGAACTTACACAGCTGAAAATTTGTCTATAGTGAATATAACGCTCTATCCCTAGATCTTATTGAGCTTATAGTGACTTTCAAATCCAGTATAGGCTGATGATCTCCAACTTCTTAGAACCCAGAAAACTACTCTACTTCGAAGTTTTATCCACAACTTCCTCACACTTGGATGACTCCAAATATCTAAATCTAACATGTCCAGAAGAAATCTGTCTTAGTCATCTACTGCTGCTCTAACAGAAATACCACGAGTGGATGGCTTTCACAAAGAGAAATTTATCTTCTCACAGTGTAGTAGGCGAGAAGTCGTCCAAATTCAGGGTGTCAGCTCCACGGGAAGGCTTTCTCTCTCTGTCTGCTCTGGAGGAAGGTCCTCGTCATCATCAGTCTTCCCCCAGACTAGGAGCTTCTCTGCGCAGGAACCTTGGGTCCAAAGGACACGCTCTGCTTCCGGTGCTTCTTTCTTGGTAGTATGAGGTCCCCAATTTTCTGCTTGCTTCCCTTTCCTTTTATCTCTTGAGAGATAAAAGGTGGTGCAGGCCACACCCCAGGGAAACTCCTTTTACTTTGGATCAGCAGTGTGACATGGGTAAGGGTGGTGTTACAATCCCACCCTGATCCTCTTTAACATAAAATTACAATCACAAAATGGAGGACAACCACACAATACTGGGAATCATGGCCCAGCCAAATTGATACACACATTTTTGGGAGGACATAATTCAATCCATGACAAAATCTTTTGGTAATTTTTTCAAGCTTCTTTCTTCGTGGTTTTCCACATGCTAGAGAAGGGCTCTGGTGATCATGCTCTCACTGTCGCATGAATTCTAGAAGTCACCTTTGATTCTCGATTCCCCTCACCTCATACGTCTGATCCACCAGCAACTCTTGGCAGCTTAGGCTCCAAAGTGCACCTCAAGCTGGCCCACTTTTCCCACCTGCACTACCACCATTGTTCCTCACCCTGACCAGTCCTCTGTTTTTGCTGTGCTCAAGTTATCCTGACTGGCAGTCAATTTCTGGCACATACATTCTCTCTTGTCTCAAGACTGTCGCCACATTACAGAAAACCAAGTCTGTTTGAGATAAAGTCAAAGAGGTTTATTCCAAGAAAAGATTACAGTTAGAAGTGGGACCAGCACAGCTCGTTGAGATGAGACAGTAATGTTCAAAGAGGGAGGTATGAATCGGGGATAGTTTTACTACTGCAGCAAACATCAGCCACAGGTTATTCATGACTGGTGCATCTCCGATTAGGGAAGTGGGAGCTGGGATCCTGCTGAGGTGGGGTAAGGGCAGCTTATTGATTTAGAGGGTATAGCTGTAAGACACTAATCAGTTATTAATTATTAATGGCTAAAATTAGAGATTACATATAGTCTCACAAGATGCTTAGCTAACGATCGCAGGATGCTTACATGTAGTTTCTTTGTCTATCTTGCAAAAATACCATGCTGGCAACAGCACTCAGCACTCTTCCTGAGTATGTGTATTTTGAAGGGTGCAGATGGTCACTTAGTCAAGACCCCTCAGGGCATATGATTTTACATCCTGGTTTTGACCACTGAGGAAAAACATGTTTTCCCCAAAAGTGTAGCTGTTAGTCTAGAAATCCAGATTAAAATTAGGTAGCATGGTCAGCATGTCATGCTTCTGTCTCACTGACTGCACTGAAAGTTTTCTTTTCCTGAAATAGTTCCCTCCTTTTAAGCATTTGGATGCTAACCAAATGGTCAGCGGTTCAAATTCACCAGCCACTCCTTGGAAACACTATGGAGCAGTTCTACCCTGTCCTGTAGGGTTGCTATGAGTCGGAACGGAGTCGACGGCAACAGGTTTGGTTTTGATCACTGATGAGTCAAGTAATCTTTCTCACATGGACACGCTTACTACTATTTTTTAATGGCTGTTTGAATTATTAAGCATTTAAGACCTCAGACACCACAACGCGATTGTGACCGGGCACCCCTGAGTATTTTCTTTTTACCTTGACATAGTGAAGTTCCCCTCTTCAGGGTGAACAGATATCAGTCACCCACAAAGGAGTAACTCGTCTTCTGCAAGGTTTTCTCTAGCTTCATCATGCTTTAGAGGGAGACGTACTGGTGGGCTTCAAAAGGGGAAGGGAAAGAGGTGACAGTGTCAGGCGCAATGGGTTGGAGGGACAAAGGGCTGACGTATTCTTTCAAACTCTCAAGTGGGGTTTCATTAAGGTCACCACTGACTTGGATGGTTTCTATGTATGTTATCTTTTACTTGGGTACCATGTTAGTTCTTGAGGTCAAAACATGAGTGGTTAATTTCATGCAACATTTTACAGTGCCAGTTATGACAAGGACCATGAAAATCATAATCTGAGTGAATAAAATAGATCTAATCTAGACTCCCATTCCTTGTGGAAGCCAACTAAATATATCAGGAAGAGAAAAACCCAGTCTCATCAGAAACATGGAACCAGGTGGCTTTCTGGTGAATTTGCTTGATATCTTGTTCTACTTCTCTAGAGCTATTAATCCAGGTGCAACAGGTGTTATTGGTTATAGCACAAATGCCTCCTTGTTGGGCTAATAAAAAATCAGGAGCTATTCTGTCTTCCAATAATACTTTGGCAAGGGAATTCAAAGACTTGCTGAGCTGCCATCCCATTGACAACATCATTACTTATTTGTTCCATGGTGGCTGAGAGATTTCCAATGGATTTTTCAGTTTCAGGGATGCCTACAAATGGCAAGATACCTCAGAGGAAAGCCCATGCACCTCCAGATCTATCCATCACTGAGTTGTCAGTGGAGGCTCTCTTTATTCTCTTTATCTCTAATAAATTTAAATCATTGGTCTAATGTACACACTCATTGTATGAATGAATATCTAG